TAGGATCTTTCATCTTCCTCTTACTTGGTACCAACTTAGGCCATGACTGCTGGGTCATCCCAGCCCTTCCAAAAAAGACGGCAAACTGTCTGGCTGAGCCGATCAGAGCAGCAGATTACCCGATCTAATCTCTTAAGATTACCCTACCACCACAACCTGTGTAGTCTTCCTAACATTTCATACCTACCTGTAATAGAGGGGCTGTTAGAAGGAACAGCTTCCTCTAGTACAGCTCCTCATCTTCACTCAAACGGCCAAATCTGCTAGGTTGCACAAAGTCATGAATAGCTAGCTCTTTCCTCTTCCCACCCCGCTACCTCACCCCACTGTCACCCAGCTACGTGCCTGTTCCCCATGTGTCTTATCTCCTCCTACTCCACTACCTGTCCCCACTAAACTCTGCTCAGTAAGCAGTAGACCCCTCTCAAGATTGTCAATCTCCCTCAATGTTGCAATTTGCTTCTCCAGATCTCCAATTTCAGCTTCCAGAGAAGTCACTCGCACATACTTTCCACAGAGGTATGGACCCTGGACGGGTACATCCAAGCATGCATACATGCAACAAGATGTGCATTGAGTCAAACCAGCAATCTTGCCAACACTCGTTTCCCCAGATACAGGACAGTAAAACAATTAATTGCTGGTTTAAACCACTTGTTTTAACTTTTTTTTTTTTTTCTCCCACTTGAAAGAGCCTTAACAATCTGCTTTCAAGTAAATGTGAGCAAGCTCAGTGAATTAGGGGTGTGCTTATATGGGAATACAGATCCCACACAAGTGGAAATTAAGGATCATTCTCTCAAATTAACTGAACAGCAGCACAAAGGAAGGGGAAAAGAAAACAGAGCACACAACTTTTTTTTTTTAACGTCTGCTAATTAAATTAAAAATGCAAAACACAGTTAATGTAAAACCATTCTTTCTGCTACTCTGATTACAAATCTAATCTTAGAAACAATTTGCCTGAATCTGTAGGGATGGGGAATGGTAGTCAAAACAAAGGGGGAAGAGGGGCGGGGAGGGTGGTTATGATTTACAAGGCTCAGGTGGGCGGGGAGGGTGGTTATGATTTACAAGGCTCAGGTGGGCACTAAAACGCATGTACAAAATGACAAATTAAAATATATAAAATTTAAAATGCATCAAGTGCTATTAAGAAAGGTAATCGCACAAGTCTTTCAAGAGTAAAATTTTGTCTCAACAGTCTTTTATGAAGTCCCATTATTTCATAGCTTCGTTCCACCTTTTGTCCAATGATCAAGGCAATGACTTAAACAAGAACGGTTTCCACAACATCTCGCCTGTGGAAACCTGTAAAGGCCAATTTGACCCAGGGTTTTAGATATTTAGGTAATGGGAGTTGCTCAATGTGCTTCTTATTGCCTTGTTAGTGTCATAAGGGAATGTCCAAATAGACACTTTCAAGCATGGAAATCCAACAGTCAGGCTATTCTATAGACCTTTTCATTGTGAAGTCCAAGCAAGGAGAAAACTCACAGGATTTAATGCAGGCATTGAAGCCTGGCTTTGAGGTGCAGAATTGCATCCAGAGCAGTATCTCCTTGTCCGCCTTGGAATAATATTGTGTTGCCCCATTGGCTAAAAGGATCAGTACATGGTGTCTCCTCACATTCTGGCATGCCTCCTAGTGGGCTTTTAATGTAAAAATTGTTTGGTTCAGTTTGTCATTGTGTGTTGTGACGTTGAATCTGGATGGGAAATCTCCCTCCGTTCCTTTGGCTGTCACAGCCCATGGGACTTCGCTTTCCTAGGGTGAACATCCAGCACTAAGAGGCATTAGGTATGTGGTTGTATATTATAGCATAGTTCCGTGCTTCCCACAGAGAAATGAACTTGCTCTTCCCAGTAGTAACAGGTCACTTCTCTCATTTCCTCCACGGTTTCATATAATTTCATTGTGATCTGAAACAAGTTTGTTACACATATGTGTAGCGTGCACTTGGTTTGTAGCAGACAGAATATATGCTCTCTGTCCTTTCTATAGAGCTGAGGGCTATTGATGGTGGAATCAGTAATTATGATGTGGAAGTAGATGTACTAAGCAGTATAGCTGCCTATCATTTTCTTCTTGTGCTGTCTGTGACTATCAAATCATTCTGATTTTTGGATTTTCAAGCAGTGCTACCCTTTAGAATTTCTCATGCAGGGTTATTCGATAAACCATGAAGTGTTAAACTTCAATTTCTAGTTTTTAATTAAATGTCCCATAGCAGTGCTCCATTATACCAGCCCAATGGAATAACCATTTTCTGCTTCATAAAAGGGAATTCCATGCATTTTAAAGCACATTTGAAGAGTGAATTATTTATAGATAAGACCAATATGAAAGCACATATGGATATATATATATATATATATACATAGATAAAATTCTTATCTTGTAATACCTTTTTTTTATATATATATATATATATATATATATATATATGCAAATTACGGTGGAAAGTGGTTAAAGTTGAGCAACCAAGAACTTTGCCCCCCTGTTTATGTAGAGCCCCCATTGTTCCAAATATCAGACAATCGTCGGTCCAATCAAAATTGTTCGAATAAATAATCAGACTTTACTTTAAATAATGGAAGACTGTTTCAAACTTTAACATAAAATACTTTCACATATGTAGTAGATGTAAATGGTAAAAATAAATGGGTAATAAAATGCTGTTTTAATAAATATTTAGTAAATATCATAATAGACTCTCTCATAAAGTGCAAATATGTTGCTGTTCTGTAACCATACAAAATGTGCAAAAACCTTTGGAATGCCAAAGTCCGAATAGCTTGAAAACCTAATGCCAACTAGCTTTCTAGTCCAATTTTAGAAAAGGAAAAATGTTTTTTAGATATACCAGTATCATGGCAAGCGCAAAAGTTCAATAAAACCAGTAAATTAGTTCAACAGATTAAAACAGGGCTCATTAACTTTTAGGAGATAACCTAGTTACATAGTCTGAAATGAGATGTGTCCAGGCTTTGTCTTTTGATGTTGATCCAAGGTTGCAATGTGCAATCTCTCCTATAGTTTGAGAGAAAATATGCAAAAAAGTATTCAAGTAGTTGACAACTAATCCAGTTAAAATTTAAAAAAAAGTAACCAGCATTGTAATCCACTGACCTGCTTGTAATGTTATGTAAGCAAAATCCCTTGTAGCAAGCTGTTTTTCGAAGCCAAAACATCAATTATGGTTTCATTGCTTAGTCCAACAAAGGACTTTTTCTACAGATATAAGCATAAAGGACAAATTTTTTTATTTATATATATATATTTTTTTAAGGGGGAATTTCAAAGTCTGTTCAAGATATATTTAAGTTTTAAAAATAAGGTTTCACTCGCTGCTTCAGAAGAGGACCGTGCCTTAAAGGGACACTATAGTCACCAAAACCACTTTTTAGCTTAATGAAGCAGTTTTGGTGTTTCGATCATGCCCCTGCAGTTTCACTGCTCAATTCTCTGCCATTTAGGAGTTAAATCACCTTGTTTATGAACCCTAGTCACACCTCCCTTGCATGACTTGCACAGCCTCCCTAAACACTTCCTGTAGAGTCATCTACAGTTTATCCTTCCTTGCAAGTTCTGTTTAGTTTTTCTTATCCCCTGCTATGTTAATAGTTTGCTAGACACTGCAAAAGCCTCCTGTATGTGATTTAAAGTTCAATTTACAGAGAAAGATACAGTTGTTTAAGGTAAATTATATCAGATTGAAAGTGAAACAAGTTTTTTATTTTTATTTTATTTTTAAATCATGCAGGCTGTCGATCATAGCCAGGGGAGGTGTGACAAGGACTGCATAAACAGTGATAACTCCTAAACGGAAGTGGATTGAACAATGAAACCTGAGAGGCATGATATAAACGGTTTAAACTAAAGTTGTTTAGGTGACTAATGTTCCTTTAAGTGAACTATTCACCAGGCTGTATAGGTGGTAATGTACTAACATTTTAGCCACATTCTATATAGTTCTTACAAGTCTGGTATTTCCCACTTTATCACCAACATTTGAGTATGGCCTTCTCCGTTTCAGAGAGAAGATGAGAATGGATGGTGTCTTCATCTTGACCTTCAATATTGGCATCATTATAGTCTTCATCAAGAAACCTTTTTAATCTTGGATACAAAATCAATCAGCTCACTTTGCAGTTTCTCTTTAGTTACCATGGAGTCAAATTTAATGACAAGGCTTCAGTCGTTCTAATGCACTGTTGGAAATGTTTTGTGATCCAAACATGCCAAATAGCTGACCATGTATTGAGAATGCAGACTATTAATAATCTTGTCTAAGGTCCCATTGTATAGCTTCATCCTGACCTCCAGACAGGAGGCATCAGGACAGTTGAGGTTGTTAATTGGGATGTTAAATTTCCCAAGTGTAGAATATTGCATATTCTATGTTTCTATTGATTATATATGGATGTGTGGATTGACATAAGTAACAGATGGTATAAGTCACAAGGCTTTCTTTGTCCGAGAGCTCTGGAATGTGGATTTGGTTTTTTTGTCCTTTTTATGGCTAGAGTTAAACGCTGACGTTAGTATGAGCACATCTATATAGTAACAGAGGGACACGAGGTCACTCTCTCTTGGCTCGCTCTCTCTCTCGATGTAAAGATGTAAGGATGTAAAGAAGTCCAGCAATTACCATCTGCTGTTGAATGTCCATTATCCTGTAACATCATTTGATGTTTTATGTATCCATAACTAGGAATAAACCTGAAGAAACCGTAAGTCAGATTGCGTATTAGTACTTTTCATTAATATAGACATATATTAATGTGGCGAGCATTTGGCCCAAGACTATATATAAAAGGTGTGTGTGTGTGTGTGTGTGTGTGTGTGTGTGTGTGTGTGTGTGTGTGTGTGTGTGTGTGTGTGTGTGTGTGTGTATGTATATATATCTATATAGATATATCTATATAGATATATTTTCTCAATCAACTGAAGACAAGAAGAACCCCCTCTTGTTTTATTTATATATATATATATATGTGTATTAAGGCAGTTTTGCCTGTATTTGTGGGAGGGGCTTAAATTAATTCACTCCCCTATATAAGGGACACCCCTTACCTGACTCATATGGCTTGAGGTCAGCATCAGAATGATTTCCACTTCCGGGTCATCCAGACGCCATTTTACCTGATTACTCCATGAGGTTTTCTAAGCTGAGCTGTGTCAGGAATCCAGCCACAGGCTTTTCCGGCCTACCACCTTCTTTCTTCAATCCATCGCCGTGGATGGTGTCCAAGTGACTCACAAACCGTAAGTCGACCTACCCGTTACGCCAGGCATCAGTCCCACGGCACCATGCACGGGTCAGGTCCTCACTTTATGGCTGCATTTTGTCTATGTCTGTTCTAAAACCATGTTCATGCATATCATTCGTTTAAACCCCCTACCGGTCTTTGGGTGTACTACAGGCTTCTTAGACATTATTGCATTTCATGTACAAACCAACGAACCACTGCATTTTCACCTACACACTGACCCCTACCGGTCTTTGGGTGTACTACAGGCTTCTTAGACATTATTGCATTTCATGTACAAACCAACGAACCACTGCATTTTCGCCTACACACTGACCCCTACCGGTCATTCGGTGTACTACCGGATTCTCAGACATTATTGCATTTCATGAAAAAAACAACCAAACACCGCATTTTCACCTACACACTGACCCCTATTGGTCATTCGGTGTACTACAGGCATCTTAGACGTTTTTTGCATTTTCATGTACAAACCAATAAACCACCTCATTTTCACCTACACACTGACCCCTACCGGGCACCATGCACGGGTCAGGTCCTCACTTTATGGCTGCATTTTGTCTGTCTGTTCTAAAACCATTGCATGTTCATGCATATCATTCGTTTAAACCCCCTACCGGTCTTTGGGTGTACTACAGGCTTCTTAGACATTATTGCATTTCATGTACAAACCAACGAACCACTGCATTTTCGCCTACACACTGACCCCTACCGGTCTTTGGGTGTACTACAGGCTTCTTAGACATTATTGCATTTCATGTACAAATCAACGAATCACTGCATTTGCGCCTACACACTGACCCCTACTGGTCATTTGGTGTACTACAGGCTTCTTAGATATTATCGCATTTCATGTACAAATCAACGAACCACTGCATTTGCGCCTACACACTGACCCCTACCAGTCATTCGGTGTACTACGGGCTTCTCAGACATTATTGCATTTCATGTATAAACCAACAAACCACTGCAATTTTCACCTACACACTGACCCCTATCAGTCATTCGGTGTACTACAGGCTTCTTAGACGTTTTTGGCTTTTCATGTACAAAACCATAAACCACTGCATTTTCACCTACACACTGACCCTTACCAGTCATTCAGTGTACTACAGGCTTCTCAGACATTATTGCATTTCATGTACAAACCAACGAACCACTGCATTTGCGCCTACACACTGACCCCTACAGGTCATTCAGTGTACTACAGGCTTTTCAGACATTATTGCATTTCATGTACAAACCAACTAACCACGGCATTTTCACCTACATGCTGACCCCTACCGGTCAATCAGTATACTACAGGCTTCTCAGATTTTATTCCACTTCATAAGCAAACAAACGAACTACAGCATTTTCGCTTTTATACTGACTCCTATCTGTCAAATGGTAGCATTAACCCCTTAAGGACACATGACATGTGTGACGTGTAATGATCCCCTTTTATTCCAGAAGTTTGGTCCTTAAGGGGTTAAAGGGTATTTTAACATACAATCAGCATTTCTGAGCCCTACTGGTCAACAGCAAAACTGTCTTCACATGTCATATACAATTTACCAGCCAATATAAATTACACATAAGATTGTTTTAAACATAACTATAGACCATAAATTAAACTCCAGCACGGGCTCAACTTCAGGTTTAATTCACAATAATTTACATTTCACATCAAGACCAACAGTGGTTCTATCAACACTGCCACCTACAGGTCTGTCAAGTACATTGACAATTTTCATGGGGTTTTACAAACACCAAAACACTGACACCTATAGGTCAACAGACAAACAACATTTCACATACCAATCGGTATCCAACTACACTGCCACCTATAGGGCACTCGGCAGATCTCCAGTGCACTTGCATTTTGCAACACCATGTTCACTGACCCCTACCATTCAATAAGACATACAACAATTCACATAGCAAGCACTATGCCAACATCTGGTATAAATACATATATTATTACACAGTAGCAGACGCATCTGTATATATGTAACTGGTAATATAGTTCACATACATTTTTCACAGCACGCTGCTCCCGCAACAGACTTCCCCTAGCAAGGGGACATACAACATACAAGGTGGGGACCACATTTTCACTTGTACATACGGCACTTAATGGGTTAAGATTGATACATATTTAACCAGTATGGCTACGATGTTTAATATTTACACATCACAGCACTTTACTTTCACATATACTGTACGTATTAAGATAAGCTTGGTGTATGCCATATTTCCTTATGCCATACGGTTTTATCCATTCAGGTTACAGTTACTACTAAAAAACCTATACGGATTGTCAGGTTCAATACCATACTACCAGGTACATACACCTGCTCGCGTAGTTATCCATCTCTTACCTTCCCTGGAATAGTAATAGTGTACTGGCAATTAGGGTTCTAGGGCCCAATAGGTATTACCCCCTTTTTTCTCTGCATTATGCTTCGGTTAGTGGTCCCGCGAGGCCAACACCCCGCCTCACACTCGGAGGCATACACCTCTCGGGCCACTCGTGAGCTAGCCGCCTCGCATTGTATCATAGAGAGGGCCTCACCTGTCACTCCCCTTCCTATTTTTCTGATTACTGTCACCGAGAGGCCAACATCCTGCCACAGCGTTCGGTGGCCACACAAAATCCCCTCGCGCCAA